AGACAAATGCGTGGCTCCTAGTGTCCACATCGTGCTTAAGAAAACAAGAGGCACTTCCGACTCCTGCCATGCCCGCCACCCCGCCCATGTCAGAACTTCTACAAAGAACCCACTTTTTGTTGAGATTGCTTTCAGATGAGTTCACCTCAGAATTACTTTGGGTATCCTCTTCACAAGGAAACACAGTCAGCGGTGTGCTGCCAAACTATTAAAATTTCTTTTAGTTCACGCCACCAATAAGGAGAATTTTATAGCATTCCCATACATTGGGGAGCCTTCAAGGCGTCTCACCTTCATGATAATGAAGAACAAATCAGGTCACTGCCTTTGTCCCCATCCTCTGCCCAACGCACCTGCTGTACTTTCAACACAGAAGACGCACGGGACACAAGCCGTCCAAGACTCGAAGCTTCAGGAACGCCGCCAGCCTTACAAGGAGGAAACGGCCAAGGTGCGCGCATGTGTAACTGGAGGCGCCTGAACGCTGACCCACCGCCTCTAATTCTTGCTTCATGTCTTTCAAAATTTAAGGTGTTTGCCTGTCTACAGAAATTCCCTATGAAAATACAAAACCTTCGGAAGAGACTACACTTTGGATTAGCTAAGGCAAATTTTGTGTAGCTCACGGTCATCCTCAGGGAGACCTCCAGAATGACAGCTGTAACGGGGCTCATTCTAGTGAACAAACTACGGCGAATGATGTATTACCTGTCTTGCATTTAGTTATGTGGATTCCTTTTGAAGCTTTATCTTGCGGGATCAACTTCAGAAGAGTGATCGCTAATTTTTTTTTGATCATAATATACCACAGCATTTCATATTTGGGAAGAATAATCCTACTTTCAGGCACAGTGTCTTAATCTTCCCCTAAGTATACTTGTAACTATCAAATAATGAGCCCTGAATTTTGTTTTGTTTTGTATGCTCATGTGACACTTACGCTGAGGTGGCATCCCACATGCCACAACTAGAAGGACCCACAACTAAAATTATACAACTATGTACCGGGGGGCTTTGGAGAGAAAAAGGAAAAATAAAATCTTTTTTAAAAAGACAAAAGTACATTTGTGCATAGGAAAAATACTGGAAGAATATAGACCAAAAAATAAATAGTATTTATTTCTGGGAGTTAGGATTACATTTTTAAAAAGTGTTTTTCCTTATTCTTTATTATATTTTCCCAAATAATCACCAACAAACATGTTATACTAATGATAAACAAAACAATTTTTCTAAAAAGAAAGGTAATTTTCACCAGAGAGCCTACCTGAAAACTTACAACAAGACAAAAACGGTTTTGCGTCATTTTCGGAAGAAAGCCACATCCAAAGCTGGAGGTTCTGCGGTTATAAAATTAGTGGCAAATTTCCATGCAAGATGATTTTTTCTTTTTTTCTTTTTTTTTTGCTAGTTTCCAGTTTGTTTTCCTCCAACTCAGAATTTCGGGTTAATAACCGTGCACTGAAATTCCTTATGAAAAAGCGATTGTTTTAATAGCTTTAAAGATGTAAATTTCCAAGCTTTCCAGGACTAAGATGCAATGTCCTATCATCACCAAGTTACTGGGGAGGAATCTACAAGGCAGTTTATATGTCTATACTGCACTGTTTAGCTCAAAGTGTCTATACCCTGATAAGCAACTCAACTTTTAATGACTTACTCTATGAGATTATAGTAACGGACCTTTTAAACTGTTTAAAGGGATTATCTGCAAAATGTCTATAATAAATTACAATTAATTATAATTTTAAGTTTGGAACAATTTAAATGAAAACTACATATACATTATTATATGATTAGGATCGTTATTGTCTATACCAGAGGTTGGCAAGCTTGGTTCACCACCTGTTTGGGTACAGCTTGTGAGCTAATAGCATGGTTTTCACATTTTTAATTGGTTCAAAAAAATCAAAAGAAAAAATTTCATGAAATGTGAAAATAATATGAAATCTAAACGTTGGTGTCCACAAACAAAGTTTTACTGGAACACAGCCACATTCGTTCTTTTACATCTTGCCCATGGCTGCTTTCGCACGATGACAGCTTCTTGAAAGAATTGCGACAGAATAGGCCAGCATGTCTAAAATATTCACTCACTCATCTTTTACAGAAAAAGTGTTTGCAAGGTGGTTCTGAACATTCTTTGTATTTTCTATCATCAGTCTCTAGATGGCAGAAAATATCCTTAAACTGGGGAGGGGTGTCAACTACTACCCCAGAGGAGAAGCTATTTACATTTCCAATCAGACCGTCTCCTAAGTCAGTCCTTCCAACAGCACAGAACCTTTTCTCTACATGTGTTCGATAACCAAAAATCAAATGTCTAGAAAATACCAAAGGATTCATTTAGTCTGGAACTAGCATCTGTACTGAAATTTAGTATCTACTCACTCCTGCCTAAAATAAATCTTACATAAATCTGTACCATTAAAGGGGCTTCTCAGTTTCCCTTGCAACTTGACTGAGGTACAACTGACACATGAAGTTGTGATATATTTAAAGTGTACAATGTGATGATACAAGTATACATTGTGAAACGATTACATCAATCAAACTAATTAACACATCAATCGGCTCACACGATTACTTTTTTTTGTTTTGGTGAGAATGCTTAAGATTTACTCTTTCAGCAACTTTCAAGTATACAATACAGCATTCTTAGCTATAGTGACCCTGCTGTGCATTAGATCCCCAGAACTTGCTCATCTTACAACTGAATTTGTAGCCTTTTACCAGCCTCTGTCCATTTCCCCCATCTCCCAGCCCCCTGCAACCACCATTCTATTCTTTGGTTCTACAAGTTTGACTTTTTTGTTTAGATTCCACATACAAGTGGCATCATACAGCATTTGTCTCTCTCTGACTTACGTCACTTAGCATAATACCCTCCAGGTCCATATGTGTTGTCACAAATAGCAGAATTTTCTTTCTCATGGCTGAATAATACTCCACTGTGTATATATAACATATTTTCTTTATCCATTCACCCATCAGCAGACACTTCATTTGTTTCCATGTCTTGGCTTCTCAGTTTTAATGAGTCTATGTAACATTCCTCTCTTTGCAGACAGAATTACACTTGTTAAGCCTCCACGTCAAGCCAACTGGATTTAGAATTAGGTAGGTTGTATGTGTGTGTTGAGTACTAACTTATTTTAACTGAATATAAGTGGTTTTAGGACTCGATTCACTTTTTTAAAGCATTGTAAGACACAGTCATAAACTAGCTTTTATTATGGACAAATTTACACACGAATGAATAAAAGTGAGAAGGGTGGGTCAGCACACATAGCTTCTTCATATTTACTGTCACTTATGAACTGCATTGGCACCTCTTGAAAGAAGGAGGCAAACCTATATTGTCAGCATGACAATGTTATTCATGTTCTTATCAAACACAGATTCCTCATTTTTCAACAAGAAGACAAGAAGCACCAACACCACTTCCCAGAGACACATTAGAGAGGGGAATTCTGGCACAGTTTTCTCCTTGACCTCACATTCTCTCCTACCATTTCTGTCACCTTTCTTTTCTCTATAACTTTCAATTATGAACTTTTCCACAGAAAAAGAGAAGTTAAAATAGGACAAAGATAACTTAATGCCAATCACCTAGCTTAAATAATTTTATTTATCTTTACTGGCAAACAGTAGAAAGTTGCAGATATCATGACACTTCATCCCTAACTAATTTACCCTGTGTCTCCTAAAATAATGACATTTTCCTGTATATCCATAATACATTCATGCACCTAAGAATTAGCAATAATTCTATCATAGTAGCTAATAACCAATGAATGTTGAAACTTCCCCATTTAACCTCAAAATGTCTTCTCGAGATTTGCCGTTGAACAGAATGTAACCTAGAGTCACGCTTCACATGTGTTTGCAAGGTTTCCTCAGCTCTCCTTTAAAGTAGAACAGCCCTGCCCCCACCCCCACCCCAGGCACTTCCTTGTCATGATGCTGATTTTTCAAGAGACCAGACCCTTTGATATAGAATCTACATTCTGAATTTTTCTGATCCTCTGGAGTCACTGAAATTATTTTTTTTCCTTTATATTTCCTGTGAATTGGAGGTTGGGTGTAAAGACTTCACAGGATGATGCCCCAGACCTCGTATGGCATCACATCTTCAAGTGCACATTCTTGAGCTAGCCCATTTTTGGTAATGTTAGTTTGATCAATTAGTTAAGGTGTTGACCACCACAGTAAAGTTTGATTTTTTCCCTTTACAATTAGCAAATAATCAGTGAGGTTAAACTTTGTCATTGTTGCAAACATCCCTCATCCCAACAACCTTTTTAACTAACGGTCACAGTTTGTGACTAGAATCAAGCATTTCATTAAGAATTGATAAATAGTAATTTCCTAATTCTATTATTTCTTTCCCTTTCATTAGCTGTTGTGATCCTGTAGCAAGGAATTTCCCTCATTAATGGAGAATGGCCTAGAGTTCCTGCTAAAAAATCAAAGTAAATGCTGGAATCTTTGCCTTTAATTCCCATTTTCATAGTAAGGAGTTGGTGTAATGGTCATCTCCTATTGAAGCAAATTAGATATTTCTTTTCCTCTCTCTCTTTCACAACATGGACTCATATATTTTTACTTTTAAATTTTTACAATCAGTTATTATGTTTGGTACTCAATTTGTCCTCTGTCCTATGAGAGCTCCTTGTAGCTGGAGGCTTTAACCCATTGCTATTATTCTTTGATGTAAAATGTTCTTCCTGGATCTCTTTCCACAGCTGAGACCATGTGTCTGTTCCACTTGCTAAGACAGCAGCTTCTCCTCTTTCTGAGTCCGAGCAGCAGCCCCATCTGAAGAGACTGTCTACCTCCTTCTAGACTGTGTCATTCAATAAATTTAAAGCACTAGACTGCTTCCCCCCCTCCCCCACCAAATCTCTGCTTAACCCACAAGAGGATTAACCCCTGAACATTCAGACAAGGTCATGGAGGGGGCATTCCCCCTGAAATGTCCGAACCATTTCTCTTACCTTGCATAGTAGTCATTGGGTGGAACCGCTTCTTGAAAGAATTGGAACTGATATAAATAAAGTCCAATTAAGTGCCCTGCTGTGAAAATAGCCAGCAGAACACAGAGACAGCTGAACAGCAATGGGTCGAACGTCCGGCACCAGGACCACCAGGTGCACAGACCCAAAAATACAAAGAAGTACACAGACGAGGTCAGAGACGGCAGCATCATACCTAAAGAAGAAGAAACGCGATCATGAACACCTGCACAGGACTGGAAAATCATTTACCACTCAGCAAATGTAACTATTGGAGATTATGCAAATTTCCTTCATATGCTTTAGGTATTGATCAGGTTTTTAAAACATTAATTACATTTTATTTATAAAATTCAGAATACTATTTTTATTGTAAAAAATAGTCACACACAAAATGATATTTGTAAAGATGGACAAATAACCAGGTGAGGAAGAAAGTCTCCCTGTGGCGTTTGAGTCAAGTAAACATCTACTTTTCATACCAGTAGGACTTGGCACATTTACTGGCCTGTTTCCACCTTTCTATTTTGCCCCCACATTTTTCAGGGATAGCTGTACGTCCACTCCAACTTTCCCTGATACCATATTTTATAACAACTTATAAAAATCATTATAAAATGACATTATATGACATAAAATCATTAAAAATGATTCTTTTGGCTAAGCAGGATTTGTAAGAACATTCCATTGTGTGGCAGCTGAAGTCTCACTGAGACTTTGTCCTGCCAACAAACTCTGATCTGCACTATCACCAACAAGGGAAACGTACAATGACATGATTCCTTATAGGCATTTAGAAACATTTTTGCGTGGCATTTTGAAATGACTCCTTGTTAAAATATTGGGTTATATTCCTTGAGAAATTCTATTCTCTTTTGCACTTTTTTATTTTCCTATTAAAAAGCAGTTAAGTGGTTTCATCTCGTGACATTTCAAGTAAACAGCATGGAGTAAACCTCACAGTAGCTCAGGAGTGGAATGGAAGGAGGGGGAAAACCAAGATAACATTATTATGGAATAAGCAGTCTGTAGCCAAAATTTAAAGGAAGTGAGTGTCTGTGCTGGAAGATTACAATCTAACTTAGTAAGAAAAATAGTATATCCTGGAGAGTTAAATTAAGATCACTAACGACTCAGTGCAAACAGACGTGCTTTCAGAACACACATGTGCCGCTCGCGATGGGCACATTCAGCTTGTCCACGGCAGCCAATCGCCATTCGTAGGCTCCACGGGAGAAGGATAGTTGTGTTTGTAATTTACACATAGAAAATGAGGTCACTTAACAGATATGGAGAAAGCTTGTTTTACAGAGGTTAACAGAAATCATCTAAAAACATAAAAACTAGAACAAAACAGAGAAAACTATTTGTGTGTGTGTGGGTTGTACACGTGGCTAGTTTTACAAAAGCTATAGTTATTATTTTGGAGTCATTATTCACCAAAGTGCTACGTGTGTTCCACGCAGAAACTCTCACCTGATGACCCCAGTAAAATTGTCACAACAACTTTTCCAGCGGTGGTTATCATGTTGCCAATAAACTCCTTAAGCTTGGAAGCCACAGAGGCAAGCCTGCGGAACATTTTTAATTTTGTGCTGTCTTCCAACTCTCCTTCAACACCATCTCCTTCATCTAAATCCTCTTCGTAGATCAGTGCCTCTTCTGGATCTATTTTTTCTCCTCCAGCCTAAATAAATGAAAAACAGAAAACACTGCAGTCCAGAACTCTGCCCATCAGCCTGGCAGATTATATGGTTTGTAATTTATGGGTCCGTCAATGAGGTGAATTTCACAAATCAGGAAAAAAAATGCAGACAACCACCAAAGGCCCTCCAGGTCTCTGACAGTTCCTATAAAGCCTAGGTAACTTTGATCTTTCCTGAAGGAGTAAACAGCAAACATCACTAATCACAGGGTCCCTAACAGCATGGCATCTTACCTGCGAGAGCTCACTCTTTACAGGCAGAGGAAGAAACTGTCAGAAACATCTATTAATAATGTTAGCTTTCATCAGTGTGGATTTGGTTCCTCAAATTTCCAGAGTTTGCACCAAGATTTGATTACAGAATCCATGGCTTTTAACTGAAAAGGTGGGCCAAGTCAGTGCTTAGGAAATCCCTTGTCTTCCTGAAGTTTATCTTTGCTCACTATCTTAGTGTTTCCTGACCTTGGGAGGATGAGTGGTCCCGGGGTAATGGCTAAACATACAGTCGCTTCCTGCCTTTCCTTTCAGAGAATGATATACTGCTTCAATCTGGACCATTCAGCAGCTATGTGCCATCCTTAGAGATTTAGGGAAGAAACACACGTACAGAACATACACATATTTCCGCAGATTGTTTCAAAATGGGTATACTAAGGTGTTTTTGTTTTTAAACAATACACAGGAATTTTTTTGGACTACTTAGAATCTTTCCCTAGAAAGGTTAGGAGTTTTTTAAAAGAACTACAAATATAAACCTTAAGACAAAAGGAGGCTGCTTTAGATGCATGACACTTTGCTGGCATTTGTCCCTAGGCCAACAAACTTCGAATCTCCAGCCCCACCGAAAGGCCTGCAGCTGGCGGCAGAGCCAGAGGGTCTTTCAGCGCAGTTCAGACGCTATTTAAGGGTTCAGAGTGGAGCTCTGCCTCTCCATGCTCCCACTTTAAAGGTTCTTTCCTGATACACTTAGTTCAGATATTTACATAATATTCATCTCTAACTATGCCAAGTTCACTGGAGGAGGCAGGCAAGTCCCACACATGCTGAGTGGCCTTGGGGACGCAGAGATCTTCTGTTGCCCAGGAGGGTACAGACCACGTGTGACTTAAGTTGGCTAATGATGAAGCCAAGGCTACAGGGTGTACCCCCACCCTCCACACATGCACACACTCCCACTCTCTCTCTCTCTCTCTCAGGGATTTAATTCCAGGCTTATTCAAGTTGATACATCCAAATTGGGTTCTATTGTATTCCATCATGACACATTTTTCTTTTTCCTCCCTGAAGGAAAAGGAATGCCTCAAGCTTATTCATAAAGATTTTTCTATCTGTTTAGAGCCTAGTGTGTGCTAGTATCTCTAGCAAGAGATACAGCAATAAACATGTAAACAAGCAAAAGATTAACAAGCTAAATATCTCAGAGTAATGAATGCTACTCAGAGAATTAAAATAGGGTCATGTGAGCGTAGTGACAGGGTTGCTATTTTAGATCCTGAGGTCAGGGAGAGCCTCTCCGTGGAGGTGACATTTAAGCTAAGACTTGAATGTCACAGTCACCAGTGAAAATCCTAGGCAATGGAAAATCCTAGGCCATGTGAAAATCCCAGGCAAGAGCATGTGAGACTGAGGGAAGAGCTGGTCAAAGGCTCTATGGTACGTTCAGAAAGAAGACATGTGTCCCCAAACCTGCTTCTTCCGCAAAGTCATCTTTCTCCTTGTCAGCTGATGACCCTCTTCCTACTACATTGAGAGAAGAGGGGCGAGCTGTGACCAGTACATCAGTCCATCTACCTAAAGCCCACTTGTGGAGCAGGCACTTGGGTCCCCCCTCCTGTGACTGTGGATGAGCTGCACGTGCTGGGACGCCAGGGAGAAGGATGGCTCTGGTCATCCTTCCCTCTCTCCTGTATCATCTCATGCTCCCTTTCTCCCGGATCACCCCATCAACAAACAAACGCGTCTCACCATCTCACCTTAGGAAAACACAACCCTCCCAACCCACGTTTGCCTCTCAAAGAGAAACTCTCCAAGACTTGGCTGGATGCATGGCGCCATTCCCCCTACACTTAATTTCTCTTGAACCCACTCTAATAGGACTTTGACTGCCAACCACTCCACCGAGTGAGGGATACGACATGATCTGTTTCACAAAGTGACTCCCAGGGAGACCAGAGAGCAGAGCTATGGTTGAGGAGAGGGGAGCTGGTGACGCTGAAGGAGGTTCCTGCCTTTGTAGTCTATCTTGGAGGTCGAGTCAGCAGGACTAGCTGGTAAATTTATTGTGGATGGAGGAGGGATAGAGGAGAACCAAAGACAGTTCCTGTATTTTTGTTTTTATTGATGAGATGGGGACACCCAGAAGTGGAGCGGGTTGGGAAATTCAATTCTGAGATGCTTTCCGGCATTCTTGCGGGAGGCATCATGAGGGCAGCTAGTATAGGAATCTAGAGTGTTGGAGAGAGGTGGGAACTGGAGGTCTATTTTTTTTAAAATTTAATTTAATTTTTTATTTTTTGAGGAAGATTAGCCCTGAGCTAACATCTTTCACCAATCCTCCTCTTTTTACTAAGGAAGACTGGCCCTGAGCTGACATCTGTGCCCGTCTTCCTCTACTTTATATGTGGGACGCTTGCCACAGCATGGCTTGACAAGCAGTGCATAGGTCCACACCCAGGATCTGAATGGGTGAACTCCAGGTTACTGAAGCAGAATATGTGAATTTAACCTCTGTGCCACTGGGCTGACCCCCTGGAGGTCTATTTGAGGTCCACGGGCATATGGATGGTTTTAAAAGTTGGGGGTCTAACGAGATTACCTGGAGAAAATACAGAGATTGCCACCTCTCAGGTGCTGCCACACCCTGGGACCAGTCCATCTCCCCAAACTTACCCAGAGTCCACAGGTTCTGTTCTCACCCTTGGGGATCCCTTCCCCAGGCTTAGGCCCGGCTTACAGGCAGCTTCATTTCCCCCAGCAGTGTCACTGTGGTGGCTGATCCAGTGAAGCCCCTGCTTTGGCACTCACATGCCATCCACATACGAACAATCTGCTCATGGAGCATCTGTTGCTTAATATCCCCCTCACAATGGGTGACTGACACATTAATAATCCTCCTTGAGGAAGGAAGTTTGGCCAAAACCTTCAATCACCGTACTTAAAAAAGGAGATAGGGAGAGAGAACACAGCTAGAGCTGTTTGGGTCACTGTCAGAAACACGTGTAACTTTCATAATAAATGACTTATTATTCAATTATAGAATTGCTACAGATGTAGATTAAATCAAATAGAAATCTCTGGTCAACAACCTTTGTGAGGTTAGACAAATGCATTTCCCTGACCTCTCTTAGGCAGGACTGGTGCCCTGGTGATTTTTATAAACATTCCAATGCACTTGAAGTTTTGAGCATTTTTGTACCAGAATCCCTGACGCCCTGAGTTGGAAATGCTTTCTAAACCTGCCAAGCTGAGAGAGAGCCAAAAGTGAGACGGGGTTTGCCTCTGTGAGCCCCTCAGTCCAGGCTGGGGCCAGAACTGCCATTAGTCACGGCCGGCTGGCTTATGAACGGGCGGGCTCTCTCCCCCTAAACGATTTGTCTGGTGAAGCATAAACACCGACGCTCTGGAAGAGCCTCGACTCACTTAACATATTTACTAACAAGCAGCCTTGTTGCTGGAGTGGTGATCAGCCCCTGCACTGGAACGCAGCTGGACTCTGGGAGCCAAGCTAAGGAGGAGGAGCTGTGAATAAAGACTGAATTCCCCTGGTTTCTGAGCTATCTTAGAAATTGAGGACAAAGAGAACCCTTTACAGTTTTGAAAAAAACAAACAAAATATTCCATATCATTATTGTCCATGTCAAAATCTAAAACTTATTTGAAGAAACATAAGCACTTTAACTCACCTTCTTTAAAAGTTCCCGACTTCAAAATGCACCAACATGTACTACGGGAGCATCTCTCATTTCACATGAGGAAGCTCCAAGTGCGCTGGAATCATCCATGCGCAAGGTCCTACTATTCTCGGATCTTGGATCAGGCCGAGAGGCAAGGCTACCTCTCATGTCTTCCCACAACTGCCTGTCACCCATAGGCCCCATCCCCATAAGGCACTGAATTAGCAGTTTCCGCTCAATTTTGAAATGAGAAGATGCAATAAGCTACTTTTGTAGAACCCAAACGTCCACTTTTCTTTACCCCCAAGCACTAAAAGATTCGATGTGGGCTGGAAGAAATCCTAAGGATGGCCTGGAGTCTTTAGGAGGACAGATTACCGAACTCCACTTCAAACTTCCTAAACCAGAAATTGGAGGAGCGAATCCTGGGAGTATGAATGACTGAAGAGCGGTGCTGTGTGAGTGAGAAGCAGCCAGCCTAGAACCCATGCGCTGGCTGACACCTGCAACCCCTGGTCATAATTCTACATTCAGGTGACTAGGCAAAATTTGCCATATTTTGTTTGAATCATATCCTAGGCTGACTCTTTAACTGGAAAATACATTGAAGTAATTCATCTGTAGAACCTCCTTCAGGTTTCAGTCAACCTTTAGACATTAGACCAGAGCTTTTTATGCACTGAATCCATTTTCCTCTTCTTCATGGTTAAAACCAAGCTATTAAAACATTTCAATGGGAGTGTATCACAGTCACAAATCAGGAGCCAAAAGATCTGGGAGGCAGAGGGAGCATTTTTCTAAAGTGTCACTAGTTGTTTATTCATTGTTTATTATTAAAAGTTAACAATTTATCTTAACAGAATGGGTTCATCTCAACAGAAGAGCCCAAGGAAGGAAAAGGCAAGTGTTGTGAGTCACAGCTGAAGATAAACGGCCTCACAGCGCTCCCCGGCGGGCGGCAGGCGGCAGGCAGAGGCGGAGGAGGGACTTGCTTGCATGGTGTCATGTATGTTGTGCAAACCTAACGTGATAGCATTGTACAGACACACCAAATGTTGCATTCTGTTTCTACACTTGTTTTACGAAGAT